CAATGCAGGCCAACACTACACTATGTATGTTGATGTCCTGTGGGCATGGAGTCGAACCCGCAGATTTTGGGTAAGTAAGCTACTGACCTCTGAACTATCCAAATTGAATGATAATCAAGCAACAAATACAAACCATCTTCCAAAGGCATGTTCGGTGTCTCCATGGGGTTACATCCAATTTTGTTGGCTGGCTAAGATCCGTTCCCTTGTTTCGTGTCATTATTAATTGTTAAATCCCCGTGTGTTTCGCGGTTCATGCTTAGAACAAGCATCATTTTGCGTGCGTTACATGTTCATGTCTTGGGTCAATGCTTATGTTGTCCGAATTTATGTTCATCAATCCTCAATTTTTGCTGGGAATGCTGAAACTGTAACTATCTTAATACGCACTCAAATGTGATATATAAATACTCTTGGACATTTTAGACATGTGTGCACAATATAATGTAGACAATATATTATGTGGTGGGGGGTGATAAAAACTGAAATATTTCAAAAAGGGGTGTGTCACCCCCTCCACACACATCTAGAAATATTTCAGCTAAAAAAATGTGGTTTGTATACAGGAGAATAAGGCAATGGAAAATCTTAGCGCTGTCACTTATGCATCAACGGGCACCTGTGGATGTGGTCAGGTACGTGCGAAGCGGCTGAAGCGCGCATTTTCATATGTTTTTTTCTCTCCCAAATGTTGCTTGTGAAATTTTTGAGGGGGGAGGGACAAAACCATGGTATTTTACAGCTCTAGAAGCCCCCCTCCCCCACAAATTCCATTTCCGTTTCTGAGTACCTTCAAAGACCAAGAGCAGGAGTTCGCAGAGGTCATGCACGGTTTGCTTTTTTGATCTGTGTATATCCAATTGACATATCTAGGCTAAAGTCTGGCATCTGGAGGACCCCCCCACTTCTTTTGGAAACCCAAAAAAACATGTGGGGTGGTATATTTCATGTGGTCAGGTGAAATATGTCTCAGAAATTTCTTGTCTTACCCCGCCCCAAATATTCCAGGGTTAAAAGATGTTAAAAGGGGGGAATTAAATTATATATATATATTACACACATATACATATATATATAATATAATATTCGACATGTTGCCGTTGGAATAAACCACCATCGCCATCACCACATTTCGCCATCGCCCAGCGACCGGTCCACTGTGCCGCATCTTCTGCTGCCACGGCCACCGCCAGGGCTTCCGCTGTGACGTGGGAAGCGCTGGGGACATCAGCACCTTCTGGATTTTCCCATGGATGGGAACATATGGGGCTTATGGGGATAGGTATCATAGTCACTATAAGTAACTATAACTATAATAGTTATGAGTTATTTAGTGATGATTTTCTATCTCCATCGCCTTCTCGAAGAGTTAAGCTATTAGTAATGATTAACTATATAACTACAGTTACTGTATAATATAACTATAACTATGATTGAAGAACTATAACTATCTCTCCGTCGCGATCTGCTTGTGCTGTATAGGATTATATGAGATCATATGGGGGTGAATGTAGTGAGCAAGAATAACCTGAAACATGTTCATAAGGGATGACTGTAGTCTATAGAACTACCATGAGATACCCATGAATCGATATGAATCGGGGAATCCCATTCAGGTGGAATGACCAGACCATACCCCATGGACATCCATAGGCCAAGCCTTCTATAGGAGGAGATCCCAGGATCTCAAAGCGTCACAGTATGGTTGATTGGGCTTCCCAGAATGGATGATAGTCCCCAGTATATTAAGTATTAGGCATATTGAATGTTGGGCATTATAACCCGGTCCAATGATCATCAACCAACCGGGATGGTTGAATCATGCATGGGATCTCTCATGATATCTCTAGACTCTCTAGACTCCACGCAAGTTATTTTTTTCACTTTACGGATGTTACATACCTAAATGCAGCACATATGTTTACCAGTCGCGGGATGTTTCTCCACGAACAGTTCAGGGGAAATCTGCAGGGTTTGCTTAAGCTTTCAAAGATCTATATGCAAGGACTTGAAGGTGTGGGACCATGCCACCAAAGATGAGCGAATCGGATAATCGCCGTAAATCATAGTCTTTCCTTGAATGTATAGATCAGAAAAACGAGAATGTCAAGAACATATAAGAATATACCTATACTATCAATTACTCACATTATACATAGTGTATATATAGATAGATAGATATAATATCCTTCAACGTCCTGCTGTCCTTCAGCCAAGTGACCAAATTTCTCAGAGCTCAAGTGAGGATCACTGGGAGGATGATTTGGCGCAGCCTCTGGCGCCAGTGACCTGAGCCCATGGCATCAACGGAGAATTGTTGAGGGATGGCCGCAGGTCGAAGCTATGGGAAACGCAACCAATAAGCCATACAAGGACGTACCTGATTGGGTTGCAGCATATAGTAATGTAATTGTTGCACCAAGTGTATGTTGTGCTTTTCTTTCAAGCTACACCTGATCCGCGCATTTGGGTTTGAGGTAATCATTGGGCTTACCAGCTCAGGTTACTGCCCAGAAATAGTTAAAATCAGATGATATCTCTGGGTCTGCTGGTCTAAGTTCCCGACTGCGGCACAGCTCTGACTGGATTCATGGCTGAGGGTTGCAGGTGGGCCTCCCCGGTAGGAGACACCTCCATCGACTGAACTTTGGCCTCGTGCTCATGTCCTTGGTCCTCGGCAAGTGGAACTGAACTGTTAATCGTCACAGGTGGCAAAAAACAGTTAAAAGAAAAGTCAGTCAAGGATGCTTCCAAAAATGCAGGCACCAGTTCATGGTCTACGCGTAAGATTTGGAAAGCAGGGGGGCAAATTTGGACACACATACAACCTCTTGGCAAATAGGAGGTGTCTGTCGGCTTCTCAAGATTGTCTTCAGGATGCGCTTTGGAATCCTGGACATGGGCCAATGCATGTCCAAGATCAACCAACTTCAAGCGCCCGAAGGCTTGCACAAATGGATTGATGCTTCAGAAAGCGTCCTGGAGAGGCTTTGTTTCACAGTGGAAAGAAGAGGCAACTTGTGTTCTTGGTGCTGTTTAATTTCATCTAGAATCTACAGTATGTCCACATATACGTCCCAATTCATAACAACAGAAGTCCCTATTGATCGACCACCTTCTTTCCCGCGAAGCTTGAGTACGGTAGAGAGTCCTGGGCGGCCGACTTGCAACTACTGAATTCCTTGCTGGTTGATTAAGTGTATTCATCCCTTGTTAAAGTGGCACTACCGAATCCCGAATTAAGCAACCCGCTTTATTCATCTGAGGATTGATATTTTCTCGCCTTTAAGCATGCTTTGTCAATGTTGTCATTTGGGCATGTCCCGAAGTACAGTAGTAGTATGATGCAGTGGGTAATTTAATTAGCCCCCAAAAAGGGGACCACTGAAACCAAACACGTTAGTTCACAACCGCTGCTTTACTACTTGCACACTTGATGCCAAGGGTAAGCAAATTTCAGCCCCTGCCAATTGCCTGCCAATACCTTGCTAAAACAAGAGGGACTCAGTTAGCAGAAGGTAGCTTTCATGATACATAGCTCACTCTGCTTGCTTGATCTTGCCCTTAAAAAGGCAGAAAAATGATGAAAAATGAAACCCATACGAAACACTACAAAGTCCAGTTTCGGGTTTGGAAAAATGGCAAGCCGGCTCAAACTGACACCTGGAATGCCCAAACACTTCCCTTTGAAGATGTTCTTCAGCACTTGCAAATGACCATTTTGGGGCCCCACGTTCGATTTGTTGCAGGGATGGCGCAAACAGTACGGGGAAGTTCCCAACCAACAAAGGGGATTTATATATATATAACACACACACACACACCAACACACACACACATATATATATAATATTATATTAGTGTTATTATTGTATGTTTAATTCCTTTTATATCTAGACATATGCATGTGCATGCGCTGATGCTACAGCTGAGGCCTTGACCCAAGCCTTGCTCACTTTGGCTGCCTTCAGGTGCCAAGCACGAATGAATTCAATGGGGTGGTGGCCATGTCCAAAACTCATTGGAGTTTCAACTTCCTACGGTAAAATTTGCCATGACAGATTCGACAGATGAATTTCCATGTTTTTTGTTTTTTCTTCAAAAATTCCAACAGAGAATAGCTTTCTGGTTGCATCCTACAGTGGGTTAAATCATGTTAAACCAGCATCTCTAGCCTGACTTTGAGGCTCGGCATCATCCTGCTGCCTCAGAAAATGTCAGAGGTTTCCTGGCTACTCCAAGATACAGGCGTAGAATATAGATGGTTTTATGTCACCCAACCTACACCCAAAGGACCCGTACTCCTAAACTATATCAACTCATCAATTCGTAATTTTTCGGTCCATGTTCCGTAATTAAGTCATGGGGCACGATCACCTGTTTTGGTTGTCCAACTTGAATTGGACAAAAAAAACAACGATCAACAACGGGACACTCACCCATTGTTGATGTTCCACCGAGAAATCACCTTATTGTTCCAAACATTTTTGCATATGATGCCCATTTTGTTGCTCCAAATTCCAAACCACATTTTTTTTTTGTAAAATACCCCCCCCCCAAACATTTAGTTGGCTGATTATGGCTAAATTGGATATGTCCAAAAAATCCAGTTCGCATCAGAAACAACCAGCCATCAACCCGAGTCTTGGTCAACAATGGTCCCCACCGGCTAGAGAGTGGTCAATGACCGTTCATGGGGCAACAGCAGTTGCAAAATGTTGCAAAAGTGGATATCATTTAAAAGAATTATTTGATCTAGATTCCGATTCATCATGATCAATCATCCAACCCAGATAAATCACTTACAATCTACAAACAAATAGTGATCAGTGAAATATCGTGAAATCATCTACAATCCCAACCCAGATCAATGTGGCCATTTGTCGTCTGTGTTGGTGCGAAAACGCTCAAAGCCGAGGGGCATGAATCCATCTAGCGCCTCGTGGCGCCTGCACTGCTGATTTGGGCATGGAACTAATCCCTTCCCCCCGTTCATATTAAACACCGCCAAAGGAAACCAAAGTTGGATGTAGGGATTTTCCACATTTTGTTTGGGATGCAATTGGGGTGTTTAATATTAGGATGATGGGATTAATTTAAGCGCTAGACGCCTAACCATTGTATCATTGCAAATGCCCCAACAAGCATCCAAGTCGATTTTCGTTGGTGGAGCGGACGACCTGAACCCAAGGAACATCAACGAATGATATGTATATATATATATGTGTGTGTGCGTGCGTGGGTGTGTGTGTGTGTGTGCTGTGTGGGTGTGGGGGTTTGATACTGCTTGGGCCGCAAAATGTTGCAATGATGGAGCCCTGGTACAAGTTGCAACTAGCGCTGGGTTTACAACCCCATTTCACTGTTACATGAGCCAGTTTAAGCTTATAAATCCAACGAAAACAAAAAAACAGCAACTGATCCACAGTCGACCCAGGGCAGCACCAGCCGACCAGCGGCCTTACAAGTACATGCCGACCTTGCTCAACAGCAAGAACCTGCGGAGCAAATGAACCAGGCTGGAGATGACAGGTAAAACATGTTAAAGACCACCCAAATTTCTAGGACAGACCTGCAGTATAGGTACAAAGGGCTTGTATTTTTTGCTAGGGCGTCCAGGCGGGTTGCCCGAAATGAAACAACATGTACAGAAACGTGTATAGATTATATAGATTAGACATTAACTATATATGCATACATATTCAAAAAAACAAAAACATACGTTTATGTATGTAGAAAAACAATATCTATTATATGTATACATATTGTATATCTACAAGGTAGTCGGTAGGTAACAATTTTTATATGTGAAGGACATACATTCATTAAGTGAGGCTGGTCCCAATGGGCCTCCACCAGTGTGAGCACCACCTAGCCGTTTTTTGGGGTGGCCGGCTGCAGGATTTTATGGGGATCATGAAAATCATGTCAAAATATCTAGAAAATATGTCAAGATCATGTTCATGATGAAAATTAACAAAATCATTGTCACTGTGAACCGTCCATGATGTCCACATATCATCGAAAATCATCGCCTTCGTCGGCAAACCAGGAGCATATGGGTCCCAAATGTAAAATATTGTAAAATCATGGCATCAGGCAGTCAGCTGGCATCTTTTCCATCCTTTTCCTACACCGTTCTCAACCACCTTCATGAGCATCTTCATACCCCGGGCACCCCCACGAATGTGATAAACATGGCATTTGGAAGCCAACGAGTGGCGACGAATGGCCCCTTGAACCATTCAGCTTGGGGACAAACGAGTTCTAGCCGTCTACACTGCACAACAGAAATTTGAAGCCATTAATACTTAACGATACTCTGTTAAGTGGATTTAAGTGGTATACATCATAACGAATTTGAATTTGCGATGTTTCTTTCTCCCAAAAAAGAGAAACCATGAGAAAACGACAATCACCGTTGCAAAATTTCAAACAACCACAAAAATAAGGCAAACCACAGCGGACGGAAAGGTTTCTGAGGCAAGTGACTCTCCGCTGAACATCTATGTTTTGCAACATGTGCGACAACCTATGACAAAACAACAGTCAACAACCTCAAGGCTACATCGACCCCCCAAAATATCAAAATATGCGCTATCGAATCGCATCCACCACACATACGAATTTGGGCATGCCCTGGAGGCCACTTAAAGAAACATCGCTCTTTTTGTCTCGCTTCTAACAGCTTCACTCCTTGGTCGGGCCGCGGCCGGGCACCAACTCACAAGCCATAATCATCTTAAGTCCGAACTACCATTTATAGATAGGACATGATAGGACATGTTTTACTTGCAACATTTGACAATATACTGATATAATTACTAGTATACCGGTCCAGAGAAAGCGGCATCATCCTAATGCATGAGAATGTGACAATGAAATCATTGCCAAGTTTCCTGCACACCATGATTGTTATGCAATTGGGGTATGCCTATATGCCAATGGGATGCCGGCACCGATCATGGTCACGAACTGCTAGATTGGTTGCTTCCCTCTTTTGCCTATTTTTAAACAGTAATCTCACTCAAGCAAATCTGAAGCTGAAAAGTCGTTTCCAAGTTTCTCTAAGCACCCCACGGCAATCTGAGAGCAGTTCTCGCCTAAGCACAACATCACAACATAGACAAAACATGCATTACGTATATATATATATATATATCATTTAAAAATGTAATAAATCATTCAGCCGCATTTTTTGCAAGGCTACAGCACAAATATATAAATAAATTCTAAGTTTGAAAATTGATTTTTTCAAAATGAACGAGAATGACAGGTGTTCTATTTGAAGGTAATATTCACCCAGAAGGTGCAAGAAGGTAGCGTTTTCCCAACTTTGGCTGCAAAACAAACATATCAGACCTTTCTGACATGCATAAATGTGTTATAATGTGTTGATAATATTTGATAATTATGTATGAGAGTTCAACATAGTTCAACATCCTGCCCCCAAACTTCGAAAACCTGAGAACCACACACAGAACTGCAGGCCTGCCAAAATTGGAGTTCAATTGATCCAGATCTGAACTGCACGTCATTTATTCTGTTCTGCCCTATCAGGGGGTGCAGTTGGGGTGATGAATGGATAGCATGTGATTCAAACCTGGGACAAACCCCGACGAAAACTCTATCACTATGGTTATACCAGTGCCCGGCCGTGCCAGGGCGGAAATTTCGGAAATGGACAATGACATGCAATGACTAAAAGAAATCAATGGCCTATAGGAAGGTCTGTGGCGCGCACACCGCATCGAAGCAGTCGTTGGTGTGATATGCAGAAATGAATGAAAGGAATGATTGAATGCTTGGATGAAAGAATGGATCAACGAGTGAGTGACTGAGTGACTGGATGATTGACTGACTGATTGAATCAGTGAATCAGTGAATCAGTGTGAGCGTGAATACAAAATGATTGAATGCAAGAAAGAATGAAATGAATGAATGACTGAATCGACAAATTAGTGACTGGGTGACTGAGTGACTACTTACTGACTGAATGAACCAATCAATGAATGAGCGAATGAGCGAGTGAGTAAGTGAAGGGAGGAATGATTGACTGATTGACTAAATTAATGATGTGTTATTTGTTTCTCTCGTTGAGCTACTCATTCCCTATGCCAAGCCGTCTCCAAGTTAGCTGCCTCTTATCTGGCCAGGTTTTCTAGATCGAGGGCCCCCTGGGTCCCGCGCTGTCATCCTTTCAGCCACAAATGTGCACGCTTCTCTTGCCGCAATCTCATGTGTCCACTTACTACCGTGTCCATTTCCCAAAATACATGATGACGCGAAGACTGATCATGGAGATTCGTCCATAACTCGGAAGTTTGCTATGTGAACTTCCTTTGATCTATGTATATATTTATATATGTATACAGATATAATATATATATATATAGCCTGGTGAGTCCATGCCCTCAAACACTGGAAATTCCCAGAAATTCCTGCAAAGTTTTCGACACATCTAGAACATAGAAAAAAATAGCTGATATATATATATAATATAAATATATATATATAACAGTAATTAACATTATATAACCACTTATTAGTGATTATTAGTGGACCTGCGCCCATCAGTATAACCTATACATCGTAGGGCCTCCTTCGCGGCGACACACGCTGCGATGGTGAGGTCGTAGTGCACCTGGTCATGACACCACATCCTGTGAAACCATCCCTTTAGATCCCTTAAATATGTAGAATCATGACTGGTTGGTGGTTTCAATATGTTTCAATCCCTCTGAAAAATGATGGAGTTCGTCAGTTGGGATGATGATTCTCAATATATGAAAAAAAATAAAAGCCATGTTCCAAACCACCAACCAGTTTTTTTTGTTAATATCCATTAATCACCATTAAATCACCATTAAATCACCATTAAATCACCATAAAAGCCATGTTCCAAACCACCTGTCTGGCCCCAAAATCAACCTCAGGGGATGCTCGCCTCGTCAGCTTGATCCGAACTCGCCTGTGCCGAGTTGTGAGGTGTGATGTTTCCCAGCGATGTAACCAATAGATCCAATAGCATGTGGCTCCGGTCATTGAATCATAGGGGAAAAACATGGGAAAAATGCTGATTGACATAATGGCCCATTTAGGATCATTTAGGGGTACGTTTCAGACAAACCCACTTGGTGGGCTCAACATGGCTCAACAACAAATTAATGCATCTTGAGGGTCGGTCCCAATTTTTCCAATGAACGAGTCCAAGTCAATAATGTCGAGGCGCAGACTGTGACAGGTTTGGATTGGAAAGGCATATGGGGCGAAGCTTTCAGGCCCCACTTAAGACTTAAGCACTTATCTCCATGTTTGCCCGCAAATTGTGGTGCAAACACTTCATTCATTGGAATACAATGACGAAAATTTGAGTTCAAGCACTGTCTTCCTCACTAAAGAAATATAAGGTCCGCCCCAAGACAATTCAACAGGTCTGAAGGATGTGATGAGGAACAAATCCTGGTAAGTACGAGATGTATGAGTAGTTCCCCAGTCATCTCCAAGCCATTTTCCCATCCACTAACTCCACGGCCCACCATCCGGTCCAATGTCTCAAGAGCACCGGCCTAGGCCATGCAACCAGAATCAATGGAAGTTCTTGGATCTCATCCTCATCATCATCATCGTCATCATCAATCATCATCATCATCATCATCATCATGGTGTTTGCATCTTGCACCGAGGATCTTCACGGATTTTCAGACCCCGGCCAAAGCAGTCAAAGGGACACAACTGTTATGACCCTATTGATCCAGCATTGCTTCGCAAAGTTTTGTTGCGGTTGGCCTGGTTAATCATCCAACATGTCAGGCTTCCGACCAGCTATCGACCATCAGCATACAGAATATCATACAGAAACATAGTGAACCCAAAAGTGCCAGCCTCCGGTAAGCAATTACTTTCAATCACCTCCAATCACATATTTTATTTTGTTTCCATGAGAATGAAAGCACGAAAGCTGCGAAGCGCAAAGGGAGCTGGGCGCACCAACAAACTGACAAAATTAATCCATCAACAATAGTTTCCCTCTCAGTCGTTGAAGATGTTGGAGAATCAGATTCGAAGTTGTGCCAGGATAGGCGTGTCAATGTCATACAAGGTAGCATCGCGGGAAGGCTGGAAAGTTTCCTTCGAAGCGTTGAAACCAACACCTCCAATCACATATCTTAGATATTCTGCAAAACAGATGGAAACTCTATGTATCCCTATGTATCCCTGGTGATGGCCAGAAAAAAAAAAACTGTCCCCAAAGCCTCCCTGGCCCCGAAATCAGCCAGGCTGCCCAATGAAGTTGCCACGCAAGCGCGCCAAGCACTGCCCCGAGGGCGAGCCTGGCCCCAGAACATCCAGATGGGTTGTTTTGGTGCAGGATAGGTTGAATTTGAATTGAATTTGGTTAAATGTATAAATATATATTATTGTAGGAGTTACAGCAAGGGCACAGCCATGCATCAAACCTTTTCTCCACGCTGTTGCTACAGATCCTTGTGCCTGAACGGCGAAGGTCGCCAGGAAATTGAGTCACAGCCTGTCGTGACATGAAATGCCAAGCACATGAAATTGCATTTACACTGGTTAGGATTGTATACCCAGTGCTTGCGCGCTTGGCACCATAAAAGGTAAAATGAGAAGCCCGCTACTCACTGTCTTCCACCAGTCGTCGGGCTTCATCTTTTTCGTCAAAATGTCTGCCAGCTGCTTGTCCGTCGGGACCCAGTGTAGAGGGGGTTTGCATGGCTTTTCAGGCCGGACAGACCCTTCCCCATAGATCTTTCTCCACTGATGCTTTGCCTCCACATAGAGTGATTGGCGAATGGCCGCCAAATCCAGCGCAAGACGTCTCTCTGTTGGAGGCTTCGGTGTCCCAGCTTTATGGAGATGATCGTAGAGTGATTTACAGTCTGTGCATAGGTGGAGATCCATGTACTTCCCCGCATCCTTCTCATGGATGAGACGTCCATGCTGGAAGGAGAGCATCAAGCTCCTCAGATAGAGGCAGGTTTCCAATGCATCCCCACAGGCCATTGTCTCCCCTGCAAATGTGGATCTGCAGATGCGAGCACTTGCCTTGCTCCTCCAATCAACTATGGAAGCTTTGCCGATCTTGTTCTCGACCACACACCTGTCTGCCACCAGTACCAAAGATGCCAGTTGGGACGCCTTTTTGAAATCACCGTCCCATTCTTGGTCCCGATCTCCTTCTAGGTCAGCATTGGCCCATGCTGCATCATGATAGGCCAGGAAAACCATTCGCTCCTGAGGAATTCGCTTCAGGGTGATGCCCTCATGTTTGTGGTTCTTTGCGGCATCCACAATCTTGTTGGTCTCCTTGATGTCAGAGATGGTTGGGTTTCCTTGTACTCGTTGGGCCTGTGCAACTTGGAACTGGATGTCGGCCCTCGTTTGCTTTGCCAGCCAAGAGAGGCAACCAATTGTAGTGCGGTTGCACTCCATTAATTCCGGTGTGGCCGGGTCTTCATTTCTCAAGTGCCCGGGAATGCTGATCTTCTCCAGCCGGCTCTCCACATACCCAGTTTGGGTAATCGTCACCTCATCAGGAGTGATCTGGTACTCACATCCAATGTATTCGAACTTCCCACTTTCCCAATCGTCGACTGGAAATTTCTGACCGATCATTTTCTTGATCTCCTCGTGAAGGCCCACTTCCGCCATCACCAGAAGGTCATCCACATGCGTGAAGATCATGCCACACACCTTTTGTTCTCTGTCGGTGACTCGGAATGCACAGGGGTCGATCTCATTCTGTTCAATCTTGTAGTGCTTCCCCTGGTGTTGGATCTCCAGCTCCAAAAGGTCGCCTGACAACTTGAGCCACCATAACTTCGGTGAACTAGAGAGTCCAAAGACGCCCTTCACGATCTCCACCAGCTGTCCCGGGTAAAGTCCGGGGATGCCTCTGATAGGCTGCCGGAAGAATAACTTCCGAGGGGCCTCTACTCCATTCAAGAATGCCGCTCGTATGTCCCCAATAGCCACCAGCCATCCTCGGGATAGAGCCATCAGCAACCCCAAGAGCACCGAGTGCCGGTTGGCCGTTGGTGCATCCACTGACATCTCGATGTTACCCAAATCCGGGTCTCGTTGTCCCCCCACACACAGCCGAGCTTTGGCCTTGCAGGGGATCGACGGATCCTTCCGCCGTTTGGCCAAGTTCTTGTCTCGGTACAAGAATCGGCAATTGAGGATCCGATCCTTGCCGACCTCCTTTTCCACTTGAGCACTTTCCTCCAAGGTCAAAGGTCTGACCGCCCCGGAGTCAAGGTGCTCCTGCCACTGTTTCTTTTCGGCCTCAACATAGAGCTGTTTTTCTTGATGATCAATGAGGTTCCAGGGAATCTCTTTCTCCAATGCCTTCTCGAGTGCTTCGGGACTTTTGACCTTCTTGACAAAGAACTGGGGATGGTGAGCCGCTTCTCCACCTTCGGCTCCACTCCATTGACTTGCTGGTACTGCTAGCCGCCTCTTGACCGAGGCAGGCACATCGTCAAGTGACTGGGCTTTCCGAGTTGCCACCCTATGCCGTTCCTCTGCCTGTAGTGCTCTCGCCATTCTGTGTTCATCAAGCTGTGGATACCGAGCGCTGGATTGCACTCCACCGCCCTGAGCACCAACTCCGTCATCGTCCGGCAGAGCTGAGAACATCATCTCATCTTCGACTTCCATTTCTGCAGTTGCATCTTCGTCTACAGCCTCCTCAAAGTCAGCGTCCATGACACTCTTGATCTCATGGAGAGCAGCTTTGATCCGTAGTGCTTCACTCACCTCCTCATGTTCGGCCGCTCTCAGATGTTCTCCTGCAGCTAATAGGCATCTTCCACCACGTGCCACCCAGTAGTTTGACCCTTCTGGGCCGATCACGGTGGCTGGACCAAGCCACTTCGAGGATGCCCTTTTGCCCTTTGTTTTCACTTCTCTGTAAACATAGACCATGTCGCCCGGCTTGAATGTCCGGGGAAACACTCGTGCTCGGTGATGAAGGGCCTTTTGCAAGGCATCCGTAGAATGGTAGTGGAAGAAAGCCATCCGAGCCCCCACCCGCAAATTCTGCTTGCGGGCCATTTTCTCATCACTTGTTGTATGGCTGAGGGCACTCAGCTGCAAGTCTGATTCATCTTCAGGGTCTGGTACAAGGCGACCATTGCTTCCAAAGACCCACTGCCTCGGCGAGAAGCCCGACTTGTTCCGGAAGGTATTTCTGGCTTCATTGACCGCCGCCGTGGCCTCCCACATCTCGTCATCCATCACCTTATAGTCCACACAGAGCTTGTCCCACACCGATTTCCAAGCCCCACCATACCTTTCAGCTATTCCATTCTGCCAATGGGCTTGGCCGGCTGCGCGTCTCATGCCGATGCCATCGCCGGAGGTGAGTTCCCAGAAGCTGTCCTGAAACCCGGTGTCGAGGTCTAACACCAGCTTGACGGGAGTCCCCGCCCAAGAGACCCAAAACTTGTAGAAGGTCTCGGCCACCACATTTGCATGCCTGCTCTCGAGAGGGACCACCACCTGATATGAAGACGCCACATCCACCATGTTGAGTGCTAAATGGTTCTTATTTTGGAGAGTGTCTATGAAGATGATGTCAATGGCGACCGCCTCATTGAAGTCCAGCAAAGCCGACGGCTTCGCCACCCTGTGGGCTTGGGGCCTCGCGCAACGGGCGCAAGTGCTGCACTTCAAGTTCTGTGCAGCAGCAATCATCTCTTTGCTTGCTCCTCCAAGAGTGAGGTGCCTCACCATTTCTCGATTGGACGGGTGCCCCAAGTTCTGATGCAATCGCCTCAGAGCGCCAGCCACTTTGCCAGAGACGCTCCCCTTGAATGAAATCTCTGATGCACCTCTTCCAGGCTCCGTGTCCACCTTGAGTTCTTCTCCATCATCTGGTGGACCACCCCCGCTGGAACTCACCCAAGCCGACTGGTGGGGCAAAGTTTCAATCACCTTGACCACCTTCTCTGCAAATTCATCTGGGTACACCCCTGAACGTTGGGTATCTCGGCCCTGCACCCTTGCATGATCATGCAGGCCTTCACAATGCCCACCCAGCACTTCTTTGAACCTGTAGTGTGTGCTCAGGAGCGTCATGGATTTGCGAAGAAACTTCTCCGGCTCAACAGCTGACTTCAGCCCATAGGAGCACATGTCAAAAGAGAACTTGTGGGTGAACTCGTCCTCACTCCATCGCCTGATCTCAGGCTGTTGCCACAAATCCGAGGTCGTTGGATTCTCTCTACCACCACATGTTTTCCATTCATACGTTGCAGCAGGAAGACCTCATCGATCATTGCCAGGAAGTCTTTCTCCTTGCTCCGGAGACGGCGTCTCTCTTGCTTGGTGTAGTTGATCCTGGAAAAAGCGCACCACCTGGTGCAGGGCATCCCGATCCAAACCAGATCGGGCTTCTCTTCTCGGATTTCACGATACACCTCTTGCCGTACGGCAGGATCATGTAAATCATCCCCATACCGTAGGTCTCGAGGACGCAGGACACCATGACTGCGTCCTGCAAAAGCTCTGGATATGGCCGCTTCACCAGCGAAGATCTCAAGGCATCGTGCTTCACCCCCATGATTGTGATGAAGGGAGCTCGAAGTGAAACACGTCCACAAATCCTGAACGGGCTCCATGAAGACCTCATCAGCAAAATGCCCGAGGGTCGCAGCACATGTGAGAAGGACTTGGCAAAGCTGCCCCCCCATGTGCTGAAGCTTCCGCTTGGTGCTGGAGTTCATCTTCCGCCTCTTCATGCCATCTTTTGCCTTTTTGCGAGGCGATCTCAAATCTTCCGACTCCTCCGACTCGGGGCTCCAAAAGCTAGATCCCGGCCACCACTTCACACCAGCACCACCCGCATGCTCATCCGGAGCAATGTCATACTTTGTCTTGCCAGGCCCGATCATGTCCTTATACTCAAAAGTGTCCACATCCGCCGACTTGCCGAGCCCGACTGTCTCCTTATACTCATGCTTGCCAAGCCCGATAGCCTCCACATTCACAGAGACCTCCTCGTCGTTGATCAGCTGCCCTGATTCTTGCTCTGGTTGTACTTCTGTCGGATCAGGGCCATCTCCGTTTCCAGACGAAGCATCTCTGCTTGGGCTTCCTCCGGCAGCTCCATGTCCATCTCGGCAATGCGAGCCGCGTCCATAGTGGCCGCGTCTCTCTTCGGAATGGGTGTTCCCTTTCCCCTCTGGCTGGTGTAACCTCCGCTCACCACAGACCATGATGCCGAACTCCCCGACAGGCTCATCGGTGGTGGCGGATACTTCGCCTTCACTTCCGGATCCTCGGAAGCCGGCACCGCCCCAGCCACCCTGGCCTGTGTGGCCCGTTTCTCCAGGTCCTCTTTGGCCCAATGTGCCAACTTCACCAAGTCCGGGCTTGCGTTGGCGTTGGCGTCGGTCTCCTTGATTGCCCACTTGAGGTAAGCCTCGGGGATCTCCTTGTACATCCAAGACTTGTACTTGCCGAATGTGACCACTTGCTCCCCCGCTGGCTGCACCTTCTCCCTCAACAGCTTGATCATCAGACCTCTGGTGGGCTTCTCCGGAAGGGATACACCCTCCTCGTCGCACCGGGTCTTCAGGTCGGCCAGATTCATCTTTGACAGGCCTTTCAGAGCCAACGGGGTCACATCCACTTCCACCCTGGTTTGCTCGATCAGGGTCTGCCACAGCTCGGGCACAGTCCACCGAGGGTGCACCGGAATCTGCAGCGCATCCAGTGCCACCAACAGCTCGGGGCGATTCATCCGCCATGGTGACAAGGGCTGTGCTGGCATTCCCGGAGGCCTCACGCTCTTCACCGGGCTGAGCAGAGCCTCTTGAGAACCGCTTGGGAAAACGGCTGCGACCAATCCAAAGTCCTCCAACTTGATCAAAAAGTTTGGTGTCCAACGATTGATGCCATGGACCTTCAAAAACATGTAGTTGCACACCTTCACCTTGACATGCCAGTGCCTCTGTGATACAATGTGACCCAAGTCGATGCAGAAGCTTTTCTTTGAGATCTACCAAACTTGTATTCCATGATGATGGGTCGAAATGTGATTTCCGTGGCACCACATGCACTCTGATCAGCTCGGCTTCCGTTTCAATCCAAAAATCCCTACATGGTTTGCACGTTTCCACCACATGAAAAATGAGTTCGATGCCAACTTCGGATGCATCAGCATGTTTGAAACTTCAGAGGCAATCTTCTTTGGGTAAAAAAGAGGATGTTTGCAAGCTTCATGTTCCCGGCCCCCCGAAGACTCCGCCACATATTGCTCGATGCTGGATGCCTCCAACACGCTGACTTCTGGATCAGTTGTCCAGCTATGTCCAGCGGGGCAAAAGTCTTCAGGAAAATCAGAAACCACCAAGGCAGGGTGCCCTGTGTCAGAGAGCTGCATCTCGACATTGTGCAAGTGCAGTCGTAAAAGATCTGCTCGCTGCTCGTCCACCCGGTAGACCATGCCAAGCTTTGCCAGAACTCCACGGCTGAAGAGCAAGGGCACCTTGCACTGGACGACGGCCACCTTGATGCGGACGTGATGTCCACCAATCCCAAAATGGGCCCAGACTGCAAATGGAGATGGATGCACTCGAGAGGCCCCAAACTTGAAGCTGTCCCGCTCTTCCACGGGCTCCACCTTGACATGGTTGGCGTCAGCCCAGGCGCAGTATTCTTCGTACCACTGATGGCCCGCCACTGTCTTTGTGCAAGCCGTATCGGCTATTGCCAGCATAGTCTTCTCAGGCGACCATGCATCGTAGGCCAAGCCGACCTCAGCTCCATAGTCACCACCCAGCTCGTTCTCTTGGGACTCATGCGTCGTCATCCACACCACATGAACGCCGAAGTGCTCCTCCAGGGTGTGCTCATCTTCAATCACCAATTGTAATGTGCTACCTTGACCTAGGTGGGTTCTGGATAGGGTAGGTTTTTTCAAGAGTTATATTGAGAGATTTTGAGTTATAAAGAGTTTTAAAATGAGAAAACATGGGAAAACATGGGAAAACATGGGAAAATATGAGAAAACATGGGAAAAAGAGAAATTTTGAGAAAAAAAAGTTTTGAATAAGAAGACTTAATCGAACAAGATCACGTCACCCACATGTTTGTTTTCTTTTCAAGTCAACTGTTTGCAGCTACAGTTTTGTTTTGCCACATTTTGTTTGCAGAGACTTTATGTTATTTAAAACTATATATTCATATGATATCATATGATATGAATTGCATGAAATTGAAATATTTGATATCCTCTGGTTGATTATCCCATATGCATATGCAAAATTAACAAATCCCCAATACAAACATGGCATGGTTTATGTACAAATTCAAATTTATGTCCTAACAAGTATAATATAAATAAGTAGAAAGTGGTGACATGTGTCAACAACATATTGTACCTTAATTTCGTTTGTTTCCCTCTTACACCGTCTTGCCCCGCCGCTGCTTCATTGTGGACTTGAACAACATCTCTTCGACACAGGTGCTACTGGCTTGTTTTGTGCCTGAGGAGTTGCTTAGTCAGTTGTAACAACCATGTTTTTTTTTAAAAAAATATTGTACATATTTTCAAAAATAAGGTGTTTTATTTCATTCCTCATTCATGTCATTGACATCTCTGGCAGTAGCAAGTCATGTTTTTGACATCCCTGGCCGATCAATGCAGACATTTGTCCCAAGCTGCCATAGACTTTTTTTTGGTTTCATCTGTGGTCATTTGTCATGGCTAGACATGGGGACCGCATTCGTATGGTTGAGTCGCAAGTGGCGACGCCGTTGGTCTTTGAGTACTTGTGTGGCTTGGGTGACACCGGTGTCCGGTTTGTAACAGAGGCATTGCACCGCCCAGTTCCAGATCCACGCAATGATACGCGTCAGTTACTTGTTGATAAACTAGAACTGTATATTTTGATGGTTGAAATTCAAAGTGGATGTGTTAAATAATTGGTTTGCCAACTGTTTTTGTATTGGTGTTTTTTTATTTATGGGGATGCCATTGATGGCAACCACTTGACAACCAAGGGGGTTACAGTTGGCGATACAATTGTCCAACAACTATCCAGCAGTGCCAGAAGTCCACAGGGAGTCACTTGTTTTTGAGGTCAACATTTTCCTTTTTATTGTTGAACCAAAAAATAAAATAGTTGCACGATGTTACTTTCATGTTGACAGTTGGGTCAAATTCTTTGGAAGAGAGATTTGGTGAGGTTTCATTCGAATAGAATGTCATTGTTTCATTCAATTTTAAGACTTGGTGGAAAACTGTCATTAAGGACATATGATGAAGGCGCCTTTGCGATCAATTGTGACTCATGTGCCGACAACCCGTGTCTGAAGTGACTTGTTGTCCTTTGACATGAGTATATTTTTCTAGTCTGTTCTTGAAAGGTTTGGATTTTTATAAGTGGTGCATCCATAGCTTGGATCCACACATGATTCTTGAAATATTCCAGTACATGTGTTAGTTCTCATTTGTGATTTTGCTTTGCACCCTAAGGAGTGCACAGCTCTACCTGCTCCATGAGGCGATTGAGTGGGCCAATCGGAACCCTCGGCGTCGCCGCACGTCGCTGCAGCGTCATGTGTCGTGGCTCGATGAGAACGTGCCTGCTCAGGTCACAGTTGTCCCCTACTGTGGAAGGCTCTTCAATGTACAATTGTCCTTCAACCAGGATCACACATTTGTTGTCGTCGATGGTGCCTTCCCTCTTCAATAGCACTTTATTTTGGACACATGACATGTTTTTGTGCTTTGGTTTTTGAACAGAAATTACTTTTTGAAGTCCCAGTGGCACAACTTTCCATTTCTCAGCATGGCCTGCGCTCAGGACAAATCTGTGTTGAGGCGTGGGGGATCTACTTGAGGCCTACGGAGCTTGATGCTGTGATTCCGGCCATTCCACCCTCGCCTCCGATACATGTGTACCTTAGTTCGTGATAACATATGTCCAACGTTGGTTGAGCACAAGGCTTGACTTGAACAAAGGCAGCTCGAGACATTTGTCCACAGTTTGACACAATGGCACATATATCAAATTTTATTTGATGATGACATGTGTTCATTTTGCAAAGAGCGGTAGTCAAATAAACAAGTTTTTCATGTCAAAAAAGAATTGGTGTCTTTTTCTGCTTTCAGAGTGTGCTCATGTGTCATGTGTGACAACAATAAGTGCTTCTTCTTGAAGCTTGGAAGCTTGGGAGTGAAGGGGAACTTTAAAACATGAGCCTTTCAGAAGTGCAGCAATTGTCTGAGTTTCTTTCTTAGTGCATACTGGGCATACTGGAAAACATCAATTCAGGGTCGACTGTCCTGACACAATTTCTAGGGGTTGGCAAGTTTGTCTTTGAATTTGCACATGTCAAGAAGGGGGGCGGGGCGGAACATAAAATGAAACTTGACTGGTCAAGTGTCAGTTACCCATACCCTCGCAGCATCCATCCATACCCCCAATCCTGGCATACACATGTGAGTGCACTTAGCTTGACGTTTGCCAGGTGCTCTTTGGGATCTTTGGATGCGTGGGGCAGTGCAGACCTCAAGTGTGGACACTTGTTCTTCATGTGTCAGTAGTAGGTTTCTGTAATGATTGTGTTATGTGGTTTCTCATGTTAGATCCGTTTGATTCATGTAGATTTTGTGAGTGACTACAAGCACTCTTCACCTCTTCACTGCCTTGTTTGACACCAGTTATCATGGTCCTCACTTGTTATACAAACATATTCTTGCAGCACTTGTTATGTCCTGCGTTATCTTTGTGGCCCAGGCGCAGTTCACCACAAATCATTTGTCCCCAGATCATTTGTTACATTTGTCAGCTGTGTCTCATGGCGACAGTTGATCTTCTTTCCAAGGGGGACACGCAGAAGGGTTGGGAAAAGGTGACGGGGACAAGTGTCATGGATGTCC